CACACTCTCTCCCTCTCTTTCTCTCTCTCACACTCACGCTCACACGCACTCACGCACGCACGCACACACACACTCACTCACACACACACTCACACACACACACACACACACACACACACACACACACACACACACACACACTCCCTCTCTCACTGTCTCTCTCTCACACACACACACACACACACACACACACACACACACACACACACACACACCCCCCCACCCCCTCTCCCTCTCACTCTCACACACACTCTCACACACACACACACACACACACACCGCACAAACAAACACACGCACTCACTCACTCACACACACTCACACTGCTGTTGTAAGATGATGCCTAAGACTCTTCATCTCCGTCTGTGACTCCTGACACTCCAAACACATCCGGATATGAATGTGATGAAGTTGTCATGTATCTATATCTTTAGAAATTTACAGTTAAAAGTCCAGTTACAAAACAAATAGCAGTGCTTTATTTATTTAAGAATTCTGTCCATAAAAAAAATAAAATTAATAACAATAATATATATATATATATATATATATATATATATATATATATAAAAAAAGTTTTATACTATAACAAAAATATTAAATATTAAATAAAAATTCTAAATACTAATAAATATAAGCATTATATTGAACATATTATTACAGTATTTTTTATAGTATATATATATATATATATATGCCATGCTGTTTATTTAGCATATATTATACATATATTTTGGACAGAATGTTTTTTGAGTAAATAGTCCAAAATATATTTTTATTATTTTATGATTGAAAAGTTTCATGTACTTGCCCATTGAAGGATATTTTATAATACATTTCAGCATTTGAAGGGTTAAATGTTATTTACTTCATAATATAATAATAATTAATATAATATAATATAATATAATTCCTCATGTTGAGTTATGCTGTTTATTTGACATATATTCTACATTTATTTATTTATTAATTGTTTTGCCATAACAAAACAAATCAGTCACAATCAGTTTCTTTAATGGCTCAGAAGAGTGGAAAAATATTGCTGATACAGATATTGTGACAACTTACCCCATATAGTCAGCATGCCCCTCTGTGGTGTTCAACATGTCTTGAACTGCATCCTATCTTCCTGGAAAGTAATGATGGAAATATTAGCAGTTTTTTATGTTAACGTTTTGTGTCAACACAGAAATAATAATTGGCGTGAAAGAAAAGTGTGACACCTACATACAGACAGTATTCATATATACTCAGAATATAAATGCAACATACTGATGATTCATCTTTGAGAAGAAACACTTCTGATGTTTCAACCACGTGATACAAAAGTAGCATCTGTACATTCCTAGAACTGTTACACAGTAACATGCGCGACTCGGAATGTTACTTTAATGACTTTAGTAACATTTCTGCTTGAGAAACGGATGAGGTTTCTAACGAAGACTGTCTTTTGTCTTTCTGTTGTTCTCTGATCCTCAGCACATGAACAAGCAAAGGTGACGCGAGAGCGCTTAATGAAGCCTGATGAATGTTTGATGCTCAGCGCTGATGAATCTTTAAAAGCTTTTAGTCCAAAGGTGCTCCTGCAGCATCAGGACGGTCCTGTAATGCTGAGGATCTGTGGGTGTAAATGCACCTGACAACCTCTAATCGAGCACATTTCACTGAACAAACATCTCACAGTGACTGAGGCTTCACAAACATGTTTTCAGGCCTGACAGGAACACGGCCTTGAGATAATCACGCTCAGACTAAACAGAGTCCAGTCGTCTCCGTGATGACGAACACACACACATTATCACACGCACTACATGAATGCAGCACATAACTGATGGGAATGATTGCATCTTGTGAGAAGAAAAACTGTGGAGTGATAAAGAAACAAAACTAGCACAGATATTGTCTCAAAATGATGTTGCATTCCTCAAAAGTCTCAATATGAACTATTTCTCATCAAGCGATCAGATGAGCTCCACATTATATTTTAGTTGCATGACAAAACATTAAAAAAAATAAAATCTGGCCAAAATATTTGTATAATATGCACTAAATAAACAGGACGGCTTAAGAAAAGAAAAATACATTTAACCATTCTAATGGCAATATATATTATACAATTAAGTGTCAAGAGAATAAAATATTTAAATCTTAAAATTAATTTTGGAAAATACAAATATATTTACATAAAAAAAAATTTAAATTGCAAAAAAAAAAAAAAAAAAAAAAAAAAAAACCAAAAAATTTTTTTTTTCTTTCTAATACCACTGATTTCCTTAGATATGGGTCTGATTGATCTGATCTTACAGGTGCATCTCAATAAATTAGAATGTCG